CGGCTGCAGCTTTGCGTTGTAGTGGTGCTTTGGTGATGAGGAGCATGCACGTCCATCGGGATGTGTAGGTACGTATGGCGGGAGTTTAGGCACGCGGCGCATGCGCGCGCTTCCCGCTGGTATGGGGCTGGCGAATCTTCGTTGGTTGCACGCCCGGTCAGAGCGGTCGATGATATTTTACGGAATCACACACACACACACAAAGGGTGTGCGCGGGGAAGGTAGGTAAAACGCCCGTGAGCACCGGTGTGTTCCGCTTGTACATGTAGCGCGTGGGTTTCGGTGGTTGGAGGCGGGGTGTGCGGTTTTTGTCGAGAAGGGGGGAGGGGGGGGGCAGGCGCTGTCTCCGCCTTGCGCGGGATAGGGTGTGCTGAGTGTTGTTGTTGGGTGGTGATGCGGTGTGTCGGTCGCCTGTGTGTAGGGCGCGTGTTGTACGATATCTTGGCGTTTTTTGGGTCTTTGGGTTTATCGTCTCGGTACGGTAGCGTCGTGTTGATAGAGGCGGGGCCGTCGCAATGTGTGCGTGTCTGTGTGTATGTGTATGATTTCGTGACTTTTGGCTTCCTGCCGTGCGGTAAGGGGTTGCGTGCTGTAGTTCTTCTTGGTCGTTTTTCTTTTTTCTTGTACAATCTCTATTTTCGTACCATATAGAGTACGCTGCTGTTTTCTCTTTTTGTTTCCGTGCAAACGTTTTGGGCAAGCAGTTTTTTTTTAGGCTCCCGCCTAGCCAATTTCCCCTTTCGCGATAAAGTTTTGCTGGTCTTGCCGAGGGCGGGCCTAGCCATGACACACCCTGGATGGATTTTGACATCGGCGAAGAGTAGGCTAGCGGTACACGACAGTTTTGGAGAGTGGTTGCTTTGTTTATCGACAGTCATTTGGTTGAAATATCTGAAACACCATTCCGATAATGACTATTGCAGCACTGCCGTCGCGGCGCATCGATGTAGGTAGACCCGCCCCAACGCTAGATGCGTGTTCGAGGTGATCTCCTTGTAAACAGACCTGCGGGCTCAGGAGACCTATTTCACAGGTGTACCATGAGGCACACATGATCCTCCGCAAAGCTGCTAAAATTAGAGGCGTCGTCGTTGACCACGCGTGTGGTGTGTGGAGGCTGAGCGAGGCGTTAGCCCATGGGGCTGCGTATTAGCAATTCTGACGAGCGGCGACGGTCGGAAGCGCTCCCCGAAGCCGGGGGCTTCAAGCTTCAACCTCATTTTCTCGCAATCAAAAGGAAGCTGTGAAGACCGGGGAGAAGTTCGCCTGCACAGGGCGTAGAAGGTGCTGCTTTTACCTATATGATTAGGGAGCTGAGGAGTCCAGATTACTTGTCGTATATTTCAATTGGCTTGCGGACCCTTCGGGTCCTTTTTTTTGTGTATGCAATTTTTAGGGTAAGTAAGCCCGTGACAACGAAAATCGACCGCGTCAAGAGTTTCATCATCTGCAAGGCCAGATGAAGGTACTGTGTAGAGGGATCGGAATGGTTTTACCATGTGAAGACAGCAGCAGCCAGCAATTCGTAGAACAGGTTTCTGGCAACATTGCATTGCGTCCCAACACCTTTCATCGTAGATGAAAGGTGGGCCATGTTTCGTCCTTAAGTTTGTGTGTATTTCTTTTCTTAGGCAAGGTGAAGGGCGCAATGCATCGATTGACAGAAACAAACGTGACAAGCACACACACACGTGGACTGCCTTCATCGCGACGACTCACGCACACACCCAAGGAAGGCCGCCGAAGGCGGGCTCTGCACAGAGGACCCTGTATGCCGCTTGCCTGTCAAACGTCTGTCGACGTTCAACTAGCCGTCCAACAACTAGCGGGGAAACATCTACCACGGCGACGACTCCCCGTCTTTTCACACTTGCTGGCAGCGACGAAGAGATCATCTTGTCTGATTTGGGGGCGAATCGATCGACCTTCCACCTCTTGCCACTAAATGGCTTGGAACCAAAGCAGATATTGAACTATTGTGGAGCTCGTGTTAGTGACGTTCACTCTCCTCTCGGGGAAAATCGCGAAGAGGTCAGTCGACTATATACTCGTCGGCCGGTCGAGTTCGGGTAAAACCCCTATTATTTAGAAGAATTTTTCTTGCCAAACAAACAAGAGAAAGGCTGGGGGGGGGTACTTTGTTGGATGTACTCGTGGGCAAAGGAATGCTTCCGCCCCACTCCACACCATATCTCTCTCCCAACTCCTTGGTGTATGTCTCCTGCGAAATCGTCAATCTTCCTCCTCCTCTCCCTCTCCAGATCCAGGCGACGTTCTACCTCCTGCTGGCGACGCCCCTCTTCGTCTCTTCATGGCACGAAGTGTGTGCCCTCGAGGCAAGTTTGATTCTTTTCTTGAGTCTGCGTTTGGTTTTAAGGCGTCTGACGTTTTCGTACCTGCTGTACCCGGTGTTGACCCTGAAATGCTTGCGAGTCACGATAGGAATCACTGTTTTTCTGAGCAAGATTTGCACAGGGTTGCTTCTCCGAGTCTGTCTGCGATGTTCGAGAATTATGAGAAGGAGACCGATTTTCATGAGACTGATGCGATTGTGCCCGCTGTGCCTGACGTGGTTGTGAGTACTGAGTCTGATGGGATAATGCATGCTGTCCATGATGTGAGGGTGCCTTCTATGCCTGCTGTGATCGCGACTGCTGAGCCGGATAAGATTGTGCCTGCTGCCTCTGATGTATCTGGAATGCTAATTGTAGCTCGTGTCACCAAGCGT